GACTTTCAACTCCCTCCAAAGATTTTCTATGGGGTTGAGATCTGGAGACTGGCTAGGCCACTCCAGGACCTTGAAATGCTTCTTACGAAGCCACTCCTTCGTTGCCCGGGCGGTGTGTTTGGGATCATTGTCATGCTGAAAGACCCAGCCACGTTTCATCTTCAATGCCCTTGTCTTCAATGCCCTTGCTGATGGAAGGAGGTTGTCACTCAAAATCTCACGATACATGACCCCATTCATTCTTTCCTTTACACGGATCAGTCATCCTGGTCCCTTTGCAGAAAAACAGCCCCAAAGCATGATGTTTCCACCCCCATGTTTCACAGTAGGTATGGTGTTCTTTGGATGCAACTCAGCATTCTTTCTCCTCCAAACACGTCTAGTTGAGTTTTTACCAAAAAGTTATATTTTGGTTTCATCTGACCATATGACATTCTCCCAATCCTCTTCTGGATCATCTAAATGCTCTAGCAAACTTCAGACGGGCCTGGACATGTACTGGCTTAAGCAGGGGGACACGTCTGGCACTGCAGGATTTGAGTCCCTGGCGGCGTAGTGTGTTACTGATGGTAGCCTTTGTTACTTTGGTCCCAGCTCTCTGCAGGTCATTGACTAGGTCCCCCCGTGTGGTTTTGGGATTTTTGCTCACCGTTCTTGTGATCATTTTGACCCCACGGGGTGATATCTTGCGTGGAGCCCCAGATCGAGGGAGATTATCAGTGGTCTTGTATGTCTTCCATTTTCGAAATAATTGCTCCCAAAGTTGATTTCTTCACACCAAGCTGCTTACCTATTGCAGATGCAGTCTTCCCAGCCTGGTGCAGGTCTACACTTTTGTTTCTGGTGTCCTTTTTCTTTGGTCTTGGCCATAGTGGAGTTTGGAGAGTGACTGTTTGAGGTTGTGGACAGGTGTCTTTTATACTGATAACGACTTCAAACAGGTGCCATTAATACAGTTAACAAGTGGAGGACAGAGGAGGCTCTTAAAGAAGAAGTTACAGGTCTGTGAGAGCAAGAGATCTTGTTTGTAGGTGACCAAATACTTATTTTCCAACATCATTTGCAAATAAATTCTTTAAAAATCAGACAGTGATTTTCTGGTATTTTTTTTTCTCATTTTGTCTCATAGTTGAGGTATACCTAGGATGAAAATTACAGGCCTCATCTTTTTAAGTGGGAGAACTTGCACAATTGTTGGCTGACTAAATACTTTTTTTCCCCACTGTGTATGATTCTGTTTTCTTCTAGTTTGTATCTTCTTGGTCGAATGCACTTTTGATAAAAGCGTCAGCTAAATGTAATGTAATGCCGAGACGCTTCTGGGACGCTTCTGAGCCACGATGGACACACGCATTGACTAGAGTGGCCACGATCACTGCGCGGCACAGACGGAACGCGGCGCAGACGGACCCACTGAGCAAGGGTTTGACGATTCGGTTTCAATTGCAGTTTGAACATTTTAGCAGTTTTCAGAACTTTTGTTTGATAACTCTTTAACTATATCAGAGGAACAGGTAAAAGGCCTACTTGCGCCTGAAGTATGTTATAAAATTAGATTTACTATGCTGAATACCTTTATGTTCAATTTATGTTACTTGCAGACATTCATTGGTAAATTATAAAAAAAAGACAAAAAAATAAAAGATTAAGGACCAAAAATGCACTGCTCCTCTTTATTTAGACACATCAATAGGACCACAACGTCACTTTAGGCCAAAGCCTGATTGGATTTGCACCATTCCCACCACCAACATCATCATCATATTTTCTTCCTTAGCGTCACATTCAGTTACACTGAACAAATAAGAGCCTAGCAACGAGAAGATAGGAGAGTCAACTAGAAATTAATTAGATAAATCAGACAATGATTAAGTTCATTATTCATAAACCCATCTAGTAAGTTGTCCAAAGCCTTCTAGAAAACAAAAAGTCACAAACTCATAAGATTGAAATCAGTGACCTGGTGAATGTATAGCTGATAGAACACAGATTTATCAGTTTATCACTGTGGTAGTCACCCATGCGACTGCGATACTAGTAAACTGCATTCATGGAACATCAACTATATTTGGTTTATGTCAAGTCACAATTGTATAGATAATGGCTGTGGGCACTGATCATACGATTAGTGGGCTTCATGCTGAAAAAAGGCCATTGGCATGCAGCCTGACCAATATCTTGAAATGTCCATTTTTTGTATTGATGATTAAAGGGAACTGGTCCTCACACTGGAAGAATATAGATGTTCAGGTTGAATCCTGGTAGAGCAGGAAGCCAGAGAAGGTGCTGTACTTCCAGGTGCTTCCATAGATTGCCCCGCGATGCAAACGGAGCCACACTTGGTCTCCCTGAAAGAGGGGCAGGATAGCGTGGTTGCTGGCTGTCTCGTGATCTGGGGCCCCATCGTTGGCGTATGCAGAAACCATCACCTCTTCGTTGCGCATGAGGTTAATATAGAGAGGCACATTGATGGCAAGCTTAAGGATGTGGAAGAGGAAGACATAGGTTCCATTGACAGGGGAGGTGAAGCGGCCAATGCTGGTGTCAAACATCTCTCCAAGGTTGCTGTGCAGTTGGTCGAAGGCAATGGGCTGGTCCAGATTGCCTGGGGCAAAATTGGCAGTGCGAGAGGCATTAAAGGCCACTCTCAATGGCTGGGAGAGTGGGTAGAGTTGCATCGGAAGCAGGGCTTGATGCTCACCGTGGGGAGAGAGAGGGACCTCCATGGTGGACACCGACAGAGAATCCCCCTGACCCGAGTCCACAATTGTAAATGCTCCCTCCCGGTCTGGGGTGCTGACCTGGGAAGAGTCGCTCCAGGCTGCTACAGAGTCCAGACAGAAACAATAGTCAGCGATAACACCGTCCGGGGTTTTCAAACTCTCATTTAGTCTAGTTGAATCTTAGTTAAATCACATGTGAACACAGCAATCTTATTCTGCTGCTGACCAAAACAACCTCACCCAATCCTTAGAGGCATGTACGTTTGACTTTGTCCACCTCTCCAAATTCAGTTACTCTTTCAAAGAGGACTTTCATGACTTATTTTACACACGAATAACACTGGCTGATAAAATGTGTCAAGCATGTCCCATTTTGTCTTCTGGCTCCAAAAGCTTTCCAAATTCAGAATGTATGCACTTCTATGATCTGATATGTCCCATAAGCAGTGCTTATTAAAATAAGCGTATCAATTCATTTAAAACATTTATTCCTTCTAATTACCGTTCATTAGGGAATCGCTTTAGCAAGTATTGATACAAAGTATTTTCCAAGACGAAAATTATACTCATTAGAACTTGTGATCTTACCACTCAAGTTATGCCTCCCTCCTCCACATCTATGGCCATGATGGTATCCAGCATCCTGGAAAATACCAGAGGAATTTTAGAAGTGTATAGAATAGAGTTAACAGTGTTGCGTGGTTGGGCATAGTCTGTTTTGTGACTCCTTGGTGGTCTGTAGCATGATGACCCACATTGGCTTTTTTCTTGTTCAAACATTGTCTGAGATACAAAATAGGTTTTATGATAAATCTTCTGAATTTGCCGATATGAACACCACATTTGGCTAACCTAGCACCCATCACCTTATGCATGTCCTATGTCCTTGTAATTTAGTGAGTGGAAATACATTAAGCAGATGGGACTAGGCAATGTTTGTTTAGGTTTTTGTTTAAAAAAGGGCCCTGGTAAAAATGAAAGGAACCACTCTTCACATTTATTTAAAGATTAAACAAAAACAATGGACGACTAAGCAAACAATTCACAATTCCAAAAGGCGAAATGTAGGGACAATTTTTCACAATAATTGGACATAATGTTTAAGACTTGGGCAGGCAACATTTGAGAAGACCGCAAGAAGATATATTTTCAAAATGATTCAACCAACAAACCCAGCCCATTGAGCCAACTCATTTCCAATGCAAGTAGCTAGCAACATTAGCTCCAAAGATTGCTTAATAATAGTATTCAGTAGTCAATTTGGCCCTTTGACTGCCTTTCCCTAAAACCTTGGAACATGGCTGTTAATTCTCACAGCTGTTAAGTTGGCAGCTTTTGGATAAGCATTAGATTGTCAGACTATTCCCAACAGGCAAGTTTGCCCATTTCATAAAAACGGTAATTCACTTACTCTCGCAGCATAGAAGGCTGGGCCACAGTCCCTTAGATGAGCCTGGGAAATGTAGGATCCTCCTGAAGAGAAGAAATCAGCAGAGGTTCAGAATTACCACATAGTTGTCTAGAGTTTAGAAGCTAACATTTGATTTGATCAACATACCTGGTTGTAGTTCGTCTTCCGGGGGGAAAAACTCAGCTGGTGTTTGGGTACTGGCAGTGCTGTACCTAGGTTCAGCAAAAACTGAAGAATCTGGTTTGTATTTCAATTCTCCATTCTGAGAAAAGGTAGCATTCACCTTGAAGACCTATATAGTGAGAATAACATGGGCAACAAATAATCAGATTCAATCAATTCAATAATTATGACTAAACGTTCTTGATCATACAGGCAAATCAACAGTCATCAACAGTCGTCAGTCAACTGTAACTGGCAGACATAGTTTTTACCAACAAGACACACATGTAGCCAATGTCTGAGGTAACTTAGACAGCCAATATCTGAATAGACATGTAAATGCATATAGTTTTAGAGACTGACAGAAATTGAGTCATCCATCTTTGAGGAAACATTCTTATTATTCTGGCAAATCATAACCACAGCACCTTTTCTGAAAAAAAAGTAATGTTAGGCCAGAGACCGGGGCTACTGCAGAGGGGCCTTTGGGTGTCCCATGACTGTCTCCTTGCATGTTGTGGCAATCCCTACTGCATCATAACTACAACCAGTCTGCCAGCTCCACCAACATGATTTATATATGAAGTGCTTTGAGCGGTTAGTCAAAAACCTTCATTACCTCCTCCCTCCCTGACTCTCTGGACCCCCTGCAGTTTGCCTACAGAGCAAACCTCCCTTCGCTCACTTGCAAAGCAGAAACTCCGGAGCACTTTTTTGAGGTTCAGGCCGTCGGTCAAATCTTTGTGGATGTGGAGGAAGAGAAGGTGATTTAAGCGGCGCTCGGACATAGTTGAACGAAGGAACGTCTTCAACCGACGGAGGCTGGAGAAGCTCCGCTCAGTTGTTGCATTGGACATCGGCGCAGTCTACAGCCGTAGAAGCTTATCCACTTCACTGAAGAGGGATTGCGTGCTTCTTCCCAGTGCCGCCAGCATGTCCGCGATTGTGGCCACCTTTGTCACCTGAGTGATGGGTCTTTCAGCGGCAGAACTGTTGTCTCTCTGCAAAACTGCTGGAAACAGTGACAACTGGGTGGACAGCCGTTCCATGTCAACATCACCTGTGTACATGTTGACCAGATTTTGGGGGATGTTGATGCTGCCGAATCCCGGGGGACTGTTTACTGCTGTGAGGAGTACCTGTTCCATGCTCATCAGCAGAAGCAGAGTGGGTTGGTTAAAAATGCGAATCAGCTCAGAATTGAGCAGGTCAACTACCTCAAAAAACTGGCTCCTGAAGTAGTCCTCTGGATTTTCCCACTGATGAGACGCATCCCCATCATCATAACGCCGTGGAGCGCGCCGCCTTGGAGGAAGAGCCGGTGCCTGGACCAGGTCGTTCATGGTCGTTCTTTGGGCATCTTCAAAGATGCTGTGGAATG